GCACCAAGAAGGTATGACTACATCACATGACTAAGTCCGCAGCTATGTTTCTGTGAGCCTTAGAGAATGAAACCAATATTTACGCAATTCCCTTTTCTGATATACTTCCCCCGAGTGTGCATCCATAGGCTGTATCTTTAATGTGACTTTCTAAATGGATGTCCAGACACAGTGGAGTGACTGCACGATGGAGGAAGTACTTACAAAGGCAGCACGAGTTCTTGAAAATCATTCTTATAAATCATGCTTAATATTCGTAAATGTCGGCTAAGCAATATTTGTCCAAATGAAACATCATACTTCATAGTTGGACATTCAGTTTCTGCTCATAACTATTTAGAGCCCCTAAAGATATAATGTTACTCTTCAATACCGTGACTAAGGTTGATAAGCACTGGTAATATTTATATTGTAGCTCATGTCATTTACCATGCATTAAACTTATCCTCCACTATAATCGAATGTAAGGAAGTTGAATATATGATTTTTATTACACATGACTTTAATATTACACATAATGTCATATCCATATAATCATATCTTTGAGAGAAGTTTAAAAGAAATGTAAAAGTACATAAGAAATTAAATATCATGTTGCAATATTACCTTTTTGTACTACGACATTGGTACAAGGTATTTGCGAATTTGCCTTGAAGCTACAACGATTTGAAACTTTGACTCCATTTCCAAATAAAACGCAAAATGATTATGATATGGAGTTAATATAAAATATCACCTTGACAAGATTCTGGTATAGAAATACACATTGCTTTAGATAAACCTTTAGTGCTTTAACTTATGTAACTTAAATTTATTTGATTAAAGACGATATCTAGCTTATATAACTTAAATTTATTTTATTAAAGACGATATCTAGCTTATGTAACTTTTATTTATTTTATTAAAGAAGATATCTAGCTTATATAACTTAAATTTATTTTATTAAACCGATATCTAGCTTATATGACTTATATTTATTTTATTAAAGAAGATATCTAGCTTATGTAACTTAAATTTATTTCATTAAAGACGATATCTAGCTTATGTAACTTAAATTTATTTTATTAAAGAAGATATCTAGCTTATGTAACTTCAATTTATTTCATTAAAGACGATATCTAGCTTATGTAACTTAAATTTATTTTATTAAAGACGATATCTAGCTTATTAAGGGAGTAGTAATTGTAAAATTTTTAGATATTTTTCCTGAGCCAGTCTTTGATGCAAGTTATTGTGTGTTTGATGTAATTTTTTTGGTAATCTAAACAGCTTAGATTTTTCACGTGTACGAAACAAATTATTAGAGTTAGTTGAAAGTTTAAAAAGTCCAGTGTTTTACATATTAAAACTCCAAACAGTTTGACATATATATATCATTATTTTACTCGTCAAAATTTATTAAGAAGTATACTCTCGACACAGATCTTGATACTCTTCTGCCTTGGTTATAATTTTATTATTCGAATCTTGCTTTAAGTTTGTTAGGTGCATGTAAATATTATTGTGCTTTATTATAAACTTTGCAACCCTATAAACGTTTAATTACAAGTTTTACTAAATTCAATATATATATTGGTTTTCAGAAAATGAGCTTGTATTTTGATTGGGCATATTTACAAACTTAGCATAATCGTAATAATATTTCTGTATACACGTGAAGAACGTATCGTAACGTTTGTTTGTTTATAATAGACCAAAGCCACCGCGGGGAATTGAACTCCGGATTTTAGTGTTCTAAGTTCATAAACGCTGTCACACCGGAGACATATCGTAACGAGTGTCAGAAAATATTAAGATAGTACATAGTGGAACAGCTGTTTGCATTGTGAAATGTTAAAACAATAAAAACATTAGAGGTATATATAAATTAAATCATGGACATCCACTATCAGAACATTTGAAAATTTTTTGACATTTCACTAATTTTCTGTATACACTAATTTTACTATGCTTATAAATGGCTATCCTTACACGAAGACCATCGTGTATTTTAACCCTAGAATTACAGATGTTTTTAAATATATGTTTTTCAAACTATTTATGTAACTACTTTTCTAATAACACACCAGTTAAACAAATTAACAATTTAGGCAAAAGTACCATCAATACTGCAATTAACCTATTTCTTTCTTTCAGGGTTCGTATGGTACCCTATGTATTTTACATAGGAAATTAATAATTCCATCCACGTTTTAGTCGGTTCTTTAACACTGGGTTGTAAAAGGCAAATACGTTTTAATATGACACAGCGTGCAGCAACCTATTGTATCATGTTGAGCCGTAGTTCTTACGTATAAAAAAAGCAAACATTTATAGGGTGAAAATTATTCAGCCCGTCTAGCTCAGGCAGTAGAGCATGAGACTCTTAATCTCAGGCTCGTGGGTTCGATCCCCACGTTGGGTAGTAAGTTCTACCTTAGTTTCAGAGTGTGATGCTTAACGACGTAATACAGTTTTTAAAAATTACTGCCAAGTTATCGATTGATGTGAAAATCATTCCACTTTCATCCTTCTTTGTAACATTTTCACTAATAATTTTGCATTAAGTAAATAGAGTTCTAAAGCGAAAAGCATAATGGCTAAGATATTGTTAATTATTCCTAGGAAGACTGTGGTTTCGATAGTGATGACTATATATCGTTAAGTAGTGAGAATGAAGGAATTTGTTCTTGAAGATATAAACTCAGACTGCTAATAAAATTGACGATGACACAGGTGAAGAAGTGGAAATGCAATTGTAGGAAATAAATAAATGTAATGGTTTACAACATCAACTGGGAAAAGATCATGTGCACATTTTTGTAAAGAAGCAGAGAGATGTGAGGTCCAACTCAACATGCAAGGAGTAATATTGACACAGCATTATCTGCATTCACATTATTAATGAAGAAAAGCATTATGGAGGAAATACTGAAATAGACAAACAAAGAAGGAAAAACTGTAATCAAAGTACTCCTTCCTCCACTAGATATCTGCTGCCTAAATGTTTTATTTCATAGATGAATTCATCTCTAGGATTTTTAAGGGTGGGGGTATTTTTTGTTCATGGTACAATTTTCTTAGATGTATTAGATGGCTATGGCACTGAACTCAAACTCTGCAGTCACGGAATTTAAACTCGTCGCCGAACATGTTCGTCCATTCAGCCAGGGAGGCGTTATATTGTGATGATAATCTCATTATTCGTCGGTAAACAATGGCCCAAGAGTTGGCCGTGGGTGGTGTTGAGTAGTTACTTGTCATCTAATCTATTACTTCAAAATCAGAAACAGCCATGGTAGATAGCCCTTTTGTATATTTGCGCAACAATTTTGTAACAACTATTTTACACCTTATATAGTATAAGGTTGAGATACTGCTGTTTGAATCCTTGAGTTTATGCACTGTATCGTTTCGTATCAAAACGGCTAGAACTATGTAGGTGTGAACAAAATCCTTTGAATGAAATGTATTTAGTTACAGTATGGCGTTTGTCTGGTAAGTACAGTATGGTACATGGCCATTCACTTTCTACTTAGAAAACGGGACCACTGGCCGTTCAGTACGTTTGAATATATTATGATTGTGCTGAGGATATTGTATTCTCTTAACCTCAGAGTCGATGTAGTGGCTCGTGAAATTAATGTGTATTGGTGGTGCAAAAGCAGGTTTGATCGGACCTCGAAACCCCTTTCAATGTTCCTGGATTGTAATATAGGAAAGTTAAGTAATGAACGCCGTTTTCTACAGATGCTTTGAAAAGAACCGATTCAAGAAAAATCAAAAGCGTGGGCAACAAAATCCAGCAACGAATGCAATATCAAAGAGAGCGTGGTCGTTTCAAGTTCCCTCGGGATTCAAACAAAAAACTACAAGGGCAAATGTGAAATATGCCAAAATGTTCTATGTAAGAAGCATTTCAAGAGGTTAGGGACCGGTTGTGCATTTAAAAAAAATTTAATACTACTCTCATTTTCAAATTTTGAAATAATATAATGTTAAATATTATTTTGTAATAAACTAGGAATAAATATACACAAATATTAAACTATAAACAATGTAATTTCTAATTAAAATACATAAAGAGTTTAATCTACAGAAATTTTAAAGTATTTTAGATTTCTTAAACTAAATTTCATTAAATAATCTTCAAGTCCATTTCGAAAAGTGAATTAAGACAGTTTTGGTACAAAGCTCTACAATGGACTATCTGCACTACGCCGATATAATGAAAAGTTTTAGCTCTAAAAATAGTCCTGAAGCTCAATGCTAAGCCACTTGAGAACAATTTTGTTAACTTCTAAAGTACTGTTATTCAGTTAAAAATATACAATATTTAGTTACAAATTAAAAATGTCAAATTGTAAACACATACTTCTTTTCTTGATATGATATTCTATTATGTTACATATCGTAAAGTAGTTCCAGAAATTGGTACAATCAAAATATGCTTGGAAGGAAATTACAATACGGATGTACTGTATTACATCTAACATATGAATAACTACAGTGTTGTTTTTTTATGTATCAGCTAACACTACTACATATAGCAGTAAAATTATATATAAAAGAAGGATAAATATATAAAGCAATTTACACGATTCTCTTAGAGCTTCGTTTTCAATTAACTATTTCACATAAGCCTCATTTTCATTCGGGTTTTAGGTTTTGCATTCTATTTCCGGTGAATTTCAAGACAAAGTCGTGAGTAGTGAAAAATTATTTAGACAGTGCAATAAATAATTCACTTAAGCAGCCAATATACTGTCGAAAGCAATTTCATTAGTGGCAAATAAATATTCATAAAAGAAAGGAAGTTGCGTTTTTTCATATTTTAAGAGAAATATTAACTTCGGTGTAGTTAATTCAGTAGTTAGCTTGTCATACATATGCTTTGCTAGAATTCCAGATTATTTTATAAGCTCTTATGACCAAGATAACCTACGAATTTCTAGAAGTAAAATATTGCATAAGGTAAATGTGAACTCAGCAGAAAAATTCGTATGTAGAATGTACTTTACCTGATCCACCCAAACATTTGTAGTCATCAACTGATGTTTCAAGTTCTGGAAATTAAAACAATTCAGTTATAAGTATTAGCACAGTGACGCAATGAGACTTAAACATTATTCGAGCTAACGAAAGAAACATGGGAGTTTACTTCAAGTGCTTTGGAAAGAGCTTTGGGATAAGAAAACTCATTCGAAAATCAACAGGTCTAAAACTCTAAATTAATCTTTTTTTTTCTATCTGTGTATACTTGTATTCATGTTTTCCCTGTATGATCGGTTTGATGATTCATAAAACATTATTACTTTTTAAACCTTTGCTTCTGTTAAACTTAAATTTAGATAAGCCTTACACATTTAGAGATGTTACAAAGAAATAATTTTGTTTTTCCATCAAACCATTTGGGAAGCTCAGTGCGAATATTCAAGCTTTTCTATATAAATAAATAAATACACTATAAATTTCTTGTTATAAGCTTATAGATTTATTAAGTTCCTAAGAGCTTTGTATTTGAAAACTGAGCCTTGAAATGTAAATCTGTTTCATAATAATCAACTCTACTATGATATATTCTATACCGTACCAACTATGTTTTAAAGAAATAACTGACAGGAAAGTTTCTAATGATATAATTATGCTCAACCCAAAGTGGCATTAGTATTGTAAAACTTTAATTGGCTGTTGTTTTTTACACTAAGGGCATAAACGTAAAAAAGATGTTTACAGAGAAATATTACTATTTAATTGTTAATAGATGGTCCACAAGATAAAGTATTTGATGTGAATTTGCTATCGTAAAATCATTTGTTGTAAAAATGTAATAGTGCTGAGTAGTGTCCAACATGGAAAAAGAAATAACAGAAAACAAACTGTTAAATCGTTTACCTGATGTCCTAATATGACGTTTTAATAATAAGTTTTAAAAACATGCACTTTTATTAATTATTTGATAATGATAACTTTATCTTTTCACTTTTGCTATATTTAAAAAGGAATAATCAAAATTATATAATTCAAAGCTACTAAAGACTTAGTACCAATATCTCAAGAAATTTGAACAGTTCCAGTTTTTAGCAGATTTTACTTACGATATCTATAAGCTGTGCTAGTCGAAGTCCGAGCTTGACTGTCAGTTTGTCAGTATGGTTACTCACCGGACGAATCAGCCGGTTGTAACCGCTAAGGATATCGTCAAGTAACCGCTTGGCGTCCGGGTGAGCTTGGCATCTCAAGTTCCCAGCCAGTAGCCCCAGAACCAGAATTATTCCACAGCGTAGAATCTTCCAGGCTTCTCGACTTGTAAAGTGCTTCATTTAAGCAGTTTTAATATATCTGAATAAATTCCAAGCTACCACCTACGATGTTCTTACTCTGCCCGTTTACCACGTGGGAGTTTTTTAGTGTTGTTCATTGATTCATAACTTAGATTTTGAGAAGTGTTTCAGATGTTCTCTGATTCAACCGTCTTTAGATATTATTAGCGGCGGGTAAAGAGTAGAAGGTTGCGCTATGCACACGCGTTTATCCTACTGTCAACACTCGCTGCTCTAACAATCGATCGTTGATCGTAGATTCTTACGAAAAGTTCTTTCTTGGTTAAATGGTTACTAGTTGCCCGAAAAAACTTCTCATTCGTTCTCCCGAGGTTTTGGGAGCTAGAGTAGTTCTCTCAGCCTCTGGACCACTGCTGCTCCTGCTGCATCGATCTCGAGTACATCAGTGACTTCTAGCTGAAGTGCCACCTAGCGGAAATTACGAAAGCTTAAGGTGATGGAGTAATATATTCCAGCGGGTATAGTAAGTAGAATGTGCTATATACGTTTTGGTAAAGAACGTTTGTGTTACTTGCCAGAGTATCTTACTCCATTGGCTTCAAATGAACATGATTAGTTATCAGTTGTACGATTATGTGTGCTATAATGAATTCACTGTTGTAAAACGTTTGTGTGCAGTTTATATACTAACGGATCTATAAAGTTATTAAAATAAAATCCCAAAATAAATAACAAAATAATTGAAATCGTAGAATTGAGGTTTCTTAGGTAATAGAGTTTTATTTATAATCTGTCTGCAATTTTTTTGTATATTGTCGGCAAAAATATACATATCGGTTGATACAGAAAATACTACTGTATATTGTTGGCATAGTATTTTCAGTATCAACCGATATGCTTTACAGCATTAATAATATTACATTAATAAAAAGAGAAGAAAGTTTTGAAAAGGTGAAAATGCTGATGGACTTAGAAATCATCGAAAAAAGGTCTTTCTTTATGTAGTCCCCTTTACGTTTACACATAATTTTCTCATTCTACTTATTCATATTTTAATTGATGTAAGAAATAACATTATCTCAAAGTTTCAGTTAAGCAACTCCCCATCATGAATGTTATTCTCTTCTTATAAAACTACACCAGACAAGGAAAATAATTGACTTTAGAAATACACTGCAGAATCTGTTACTCATAAACGTTTATTCCAGTTCTTGTTTTGCAATCTTACAATTGTGTGTATTTAGATAAAGTTTGTTACAATAGTATGATCTCTAAATAGTCCTGTAATTTTAAACTTCGTGTAACAACAACAATATTTAGTTGTTTTCATTGTCTATTAAATTACTAAAACCCTTCATGAACTTATGCTGTAAGAAACAGGTAATAAATGGCATTGGTCATTTTTTTAAAGTTTGAAGAAATTTCAGAAGTACTTTAGCATTATCTTGACCGAACCATTTATTTTGAAACAGAGGGACTGCTCTCCAAAAGCTGTACAACAAAAATTCTGTTTTTAAAGCCTGTTTCAAGAGTAGTATTTATGTGGATATTTTCTACTAAACAGTTTGGTCTTGCAACTCTGTTCATTGTTGTTGTTTGTTGAAATTCGCACAAAAAAAAGCTACTCGAGGGCTATCTGTGCTAGCCGTCTGTAATTTTGAAGTGAGAGACCAGAGGGAAGGCAGCTAGTCAAAACTACCCACCGCCAACTCGTGGGATATTCTACCCGAATAGTGAGATTTGAGTGTAACTTTTTTACAAATTGTGGAATGTATTTTTTTGTAGTAAAAGAACGTGAACCACGGAACCTTTGAACCATAGTCTGTCACCAAACCTATTAGAACACCGACCTTTTTTATTGAAAATTATGCAACTATAATGTTATATTCAGTGTTTTCCATAACAGAAGTGTAATCTGTATCATCATATTCCCCTTGAACGTCATTTCTAATAACAATTCTTCAGTTTTTATTAACTTACACTGGTGTTTTTTCATTATGTGGTGCTGTACTTAGCATTATAGTTCACTCCAACTGAACATGACAATACTGCTTCACAGTTTACTAGCTTAACCTCACATTTCATACTTTGCCTGTTCTGGCATTCCCATTGGAATTTATATGACAAGTACGTGCACTATACAAGTGACTGTACAGTTTTGTTTTATAGCCTATAGTGGGTTATTACATCTACGATAATTATATTTCAAGGAGAAAAACTCCATCATTAGTTGTGCAGTACAAATATGCCTTGACTGCTTTCTTCAAAAGTCCTTTTCAGAGATATTTCGATAAGTAAGTTACACTAATTTTATCCGGTGGTTATTTATTGCCTAGATACAGTTTGTATGACGTTACAAGCTACCTCAGCATTTTAAGATGTATATCAAACCACTTGAAAAATGCTTAGGAGAAAATGGTAGTACGTTGATAGCATATACAGTTCACCTTTAATATTTTATTCATTGTGTTTCAGTTATTAGTGGTATAATTTTCCAACTACTCTCGTGACTCGTGATAAACTAAATGGACATATTCTAATAGTTTAAGAAAAAAGTCAAAGTATGAATTTTAAAATTACGTATAAAATGTATAAAACATACGATTATGAAGAAAAGACCAATTACTTAGTATTTCTGTAATTTCTACCTGAGCTGCATCCATATACGGATTTGGGCTAAACGGCGTGGCCTGTCTCACCTAGGGGCCGGGTATGGTCATGTCTGATGTTTAACGACTGATCAAAGGGAGAATATCCGATCAGTAGCAGCCGTCGCCAGAAAGGGTGGGCTCTTCAACCGAATAACGGAATATACCATTACTCTTGTAACGCACCCACAGCTGAAAGTTGAGAACATGTTCAACGATATCAAGGCTCGAACCTTAAACCTTTCGATTCGCAACTCGTATGCTTACCACTAGGCTGCAGGCTGTCCATTAATATTTTAGCTGATATCTTAAGTTTTCATAATAATATAAATGACAATTAATACTGCATTTCTTCTTGTTTAGAAACATTTAAAGGCTACTTCTTAGCTCTCGGGGACAATGATAGGTCATAAAAGTAGCTTATATTATTTTTATTTATTTATTTTTCGTAAGTAATCTACCAATTACTCTAGATATAATAAATAGTCTATTTTCGCAACATTTTGGCTTATCATGTCTGGAGAGATTGACCACTTATCTCTTAGTAACTCCACAACAATAATTTCCTCAGCTAGCTCTAAACGGTTTTTAATTATTTCTTATACAGAACTCAGTTAGGTAATCGTTGAAATTCCCACGTATTCCTAAGCAGTTAACCAATATTCATTTTTACACGTGCGCAAACACGAAATGTACAATAGTTGATATTTAAATTGTCCTAATTTTGAATTTCACACAAAACCTTGATCCTAAGGTGTATTTCAACTTTGGATCTTCACCTTAGTAACCAAAGTTTAGAAATTTTTGAACATTAGTTTAAGAATGAAACCTAAATTCTGGACTGTATACTACATTTTACCTATTCTATTATTTGTGCATACAAAATACTGGCAACATATTTTAAATGTATATTTCTCATACCAAAAAATGTATGTGTAATGACGTCTAAATTTCACAATATTCATAAGTTATACTTCTCAATATTTTCTACAGATTTGGTAGTAATTATATAAGTAATAGGCACACATGAAGGCACCAAAACTTTGCTTGTGTTTCACCATTTTGACGATAGAACCTTCGCCTTCTGCATACAAGTCGTTTAGATAATCCTGGCAGGCCCGGTGGTTAGAGCGCTGGACTCGCAATCTATTGGTCGCGGGTTCGAATCTCTGTCACACCAAACATGTTCGCCCTTTCAGCCGTTATAATGTGATGGTCAATCCCACTATTTTTGGTAAAAGAGTAGCCCAAGAGTTGGCGGTGAGTGGTGATGACTAGCTACCTTTCCTCTAGTCTTACACTGCTAAATTAGGGACGGCTAGCGCAGATAGCCCTCGTGTAGCTTTACGCGAAATTCAAAACAAACAAACAGATAATCCTGGTGGCCATAATTTCATGGAACTGTACGTACGAAAAAGAACAGCTCGTTTACGCACTTATATCTGTATTGATTTTCAAAAGCATTTTGATTTTTTGTCTCCTATTGTTCTCTTTGTAGCCTGAAAATATTTCGTTTTTTTAAGGAAAGAATCTTTAAAACGCCCTGTGCAAAACGCTGTGAAACGCTAATTATCGGATCGCGTTAAGTAACAACGTTAATCTGACTATAATAAGCTATTTTTGTCAAGTATATAACTATAGATTAAAGTGAGGGAAAAGGAGGAGGAATAGAATTTCGTGTAACACTAAATAGAGAATACTTAAATATAACTCTTCTAATGTGAAATAGATCTCGCTCTTTATATTTTTTCGTCGAGTAAATCTATATTGTTTTATAAAAAGCTTCATGTCTACGTAAGACTGTAGAAGCATGTTATATCAACGTCATTTATTATTATAAAAACTTTTAGTATGTTTTTACTTTAAGAGTAATTTTAAATTACCAACTAAAAAGCTAAATACAGAATAACTAAATGCTGTTTAAAAGTATTACATCTAGATAGTTCTAACACGATTACGAATTTATCGCTATGCATCAGAGGTAACGTTTTTAAAAATGTTTTTGTGATTCGATATTTTTGATTCAAAAACAGTATATTCAACGGGTCGCAAAGCAGTAACACATCGGAATAATGCTTATATCTGTAAATAACGTAACATAAATTTATGTTGTTGGTCATACAAATTAATGAAACAATGACAATCATTAGGCTTATACGTTTCAGCCCTCCAAAACAGAACGATTCCTATCTATACCTTGTACTTAAAGTTATAAGATGAAGTTCTTTAATACAAGCTATACAGTAATAGTTCTCAAACTTCCTGAACCTATCTGTACCTTGTACTAAAAGTTATAAGACGAAGTTCTTTAATACAAGTTATACAGTAATAGTTCTCAAACTTTCTGTACTTGTCTGAACTTCGTACTAAAACTTACAAGAAGTTATTTAATACAAGCTATACAGTAATAGTTCTCAAACTTTTATACTGTAAGTAATACATTAAAATGTTATCGTGCAAATGAAACCAAAATGAAACATTTAAATTGCAGAGCCCAGTATTAAGTGACATGTTTAAACTGTGTGCCACAAACTATGTTGATAATTAGTAGGAAGTAATGGTATACTATATTCATACAACACGATAATAAAAAATACGTTTTACCGCACAACAAGTGACTATTTATTCTTTAGTACACAATAATAATGTACTAATATGTGTCTCTGCAGATATTAGAATAATGAAACACAGAGGTGC